CTTATTTCAATATAACATGACTGTATTAAGCAACCTGCAAACTAATAAGTTCATTTATTATATTCGACTAAAGTTTAATTTATAGAAATGATTTTGAACAAGATTTAAGATCGATAAGTTTACTTGATCAATCAAGAATTGCTTGATATAAACGTGATTTTAATGAATAATATTCCACTCAGGTAATATTGGTTCAATATAACAAAGTAGAATATATATAGAACGTATAAATATCAGAATTTTTAAATAATGACTCAACAGTTTAAGAGAGGAACTTAGTTAGTGAAGTGATGACAGTGATAAGAAATTAGATTGTCTTTAAAAGATTGTTTAGAGTGAAGATGAAACAAGGATGATGAGAACTTTCTGATAATTTTGCATAAGATGTGGATTTGTTTCTAAAGAAGAATAGACCACTTGACCTATTTTATATCATTTACTTTCAAGGATATCAAAAGATAGAGATTTTATACATTGTGATGTATTACAAGATTCTACTTGTGATAACAGTTTTCAGAAAAGCTCTACTGTACAATTTGAAAGACGTTCAAAGGCATTGAAAACTTTTGGAAGAATTCCATATTTAATGGGAATTTGTGAAAAATTTATTAGAATCAATAAAAATCTATAAAAATGCAACTTTTTAAATAAAACATTTGAAAACTAGTTTTTTGATTTCGTCTAAGAGTTCCACTATTAAACTTTCCTATCTTTCTTTGTATTTGAGATTGATATTGTATCCACTCGACGTAGAAAGAGTTGTTTAAACTGTTATAAGTGACAGTGGAAAGTAGACAAAGTTGGAAGAAATGGTAAACCCAAGAAAAATCGGTCGTCCATTAAAGCGAAAACACAGTTAAGTGAAATTCAACTTCAAATAAAACCACTTAAACAAAATATTTCATCATAATAGGAATTATTAATACACAAACGCAAACTTGATTTAGATTTCTTATCTTACCAGTTTTTATTATTAAATGATTTAAATTTGACGAAGGAAATATAATGTTCTCTATAATTATTTAATTATTAAAATTTTTATAATATACAATATAGATACACCTGTAATTCTACAAATAATAAAAAATAATTAACTAATTTCACTTGTACTTTATTTCTCGATTTATTTTTTCGAAAAAAAATCCATTATTGTATTATTATCCCGTATAAATGCAAAATGTTAATATATTCATGGGATATCTCTTTTTCAAAATCAATTTTATATAAATATTAAAACGAGTACAAAAATTGGTATACAAAATATATATTATTAAGTTATAAAGAATTTAAATTTTCATCAGATGAAGAGAGATGGAGGATACAACTCAACCATAGTGCGACAGAGACAATTCTTACTCTATCTAAATTTTGCTTTGTCTAATTGCTTTGTTAAATTGTTTATAATCTAATAAACATGATTTACATTTATACATCTTCAGTATTTGTCTTAATCTCTAGAATAGATCCTCTTAAGATATCCTACAAATATATACATAAACATTTTATATGTATATGTTATAAAATGTAAGATTTTTTTCTATAATATCATATGAAATATACATTAGAAATATTTTCACGAACGAAACCTGAACTTTCACGTTCAACTTTGAACCTTGTCTATCTTGGTCAGAGGCAGGATGGTCAGTGATGCAAGATGATTCACTTAAAGGGCTGAACACAGCAAGCTATGGTCAAAGCGATCAAGCGACAATCGTTTCAAAGTAGCTACGTCATGCAGGATTTAGTGGAATCATCGAATAAGCGACGTTTTGAATAAACGTTCGATCGAGCCAATGAATAATTCTAATCATATTCGGTTATTCCTTCGTCTCTCTGACTTAGCAATAAATAATTCGTTAATTTTTTTTACCAACGAAACGTTCAACGAAAAAAACTAAAACTTCTAAAATCAAACTCAAATAGTTGAACATTCTTTTCTAATGAATTCAAATTTCATTATCATTTTTATTAATCAAGCGTATAAGATAAATAAATCCGATTCCAATACAGTTAATAATATTAATCCAAAGATATAATTTGATTGTCAAAAAAATAAAACAATTAATGGAGTCAAATATAAAAGATTTAATCCAATGATATAATTATAACAGATCCAAATATAGGAGGATCAGAGAGTTAAGGATTAATCCATCAATTGAATAATTAGTAGATTCAGTATGGAAAAAACAATTCAAAAATTCACAGTCATACAAATGTCAAACATAGAATGCCCATATAATAGAAGGATTTTCAATAATTGTTATCACAATGTCTTAAACCTTTTCCTTGAAATGTTATTTGAAATCGATATCTGCTCGATGAATCGAAGTATAGTCCTCATTAAACATTACCATACGTATTTTTTTTTTTGTAAGTATTTATGAATAGTTATGAATACTTGGAAGTTATTTATTAAAGAATTATCAACCTAATCCAATCAAACTCAAACCCAATATAAACCATGAAACTAGAAGTGAAACAAAATTTTTCTAATCGATATAATTTATGTTAATTCCAAGTTTAATTTCACTTCAAAATTAATTAAAAACTCACCGTTAATCGATTTATTAATTCGGCCAGCCTTCAATTGTCCGTAACAGTAAACCTGATTAAAATTATCTGACTTAATTTAACTTAAACCGATTTCGGAGAACCGCAACTACGTTTTTGTTATAATAACTTTTTAACAAACAAAATCTTAATAAATTGAATGCCAATCTTGATACATGCCAATATATATATATATATAAAAAATCATCAAGATCGAAGGTTTTTATTACTTTTCTTATTAAATTCGTGGACAAATTAAATTTATCGTAAAAATACCCTCAACCTGATCGCTAAAGACAATTTCCTCCAGATGTCGAGGTATGTTAAACGGATCGATCGGCTTGTGAAGAACCGCTAAACACGCTAACCCATAATAAAAGAGGCGAGGCTAACCTAGCTAGAGGCGCGTATTGATTTCGTGCTCTACAACTCTTGCTCTATGTTTTCGAATCGCACGAGGTGGCCCCTGCTTGTTCACGTGTTCACGACGATTCCAGAGGTGATTAAGAATCCGTGGATGAACATTTGAAGCGGCGCGAACGAAGGTCGATTGCTCTCCCATCGGGGAGATCTGTTGGATTTATTTAGCAGTATCTGCGCTTCGAACGGTTATAGCCTCGTTTGTGATTCTTCCAACGATTTACCAGTGTATTTATCGTGAGATCGTAAATTTGTTGAATTGCGGAATGAAATTCGTTCGAAATTGGTTCTCTTTTAATTTATGCAAGGATGCGAAATATTTTGTGAATCTTATATATCGCTTGGCTGTGTAAATACGATGATAAATCTTTAAGAAAATATTTATCTGATATCAATTGTATATACAATATTTGGCTTGAGATAAACTTTCTTTGACGTGACTCAGATCGTGTTGAACCTCGATGCCTCGAATGAAAAGGAACAATTTGATCTTTTCTCTATGGCACTTTTCTAGAGATAGAAGCACTTTTAAAGTTTCTATGCTGCAAAAAGTGTTTATAAATATAAATATAAATCAGAGGAAAAATTTGATATTACATTTTCTAATATTTATTAATATAGAATGGATTTAAAGTTGAACTCGTCGAGTTATCTATCTTGAAACTTATTAAATTTCTTATCTTTTTAAGTTTAATGCATTAGAGTAGATTAAGATAGGCTACATTAGTAGATTTGGAAAATTTGTTTTCATTCTGTTCCATTTTTGCTTGTATAAATTAAAACTGTTCTATCATATATTTTGATTCATAATAATTCCTTTGCTTTTATGGATGAGAAAATGATATCCCCAAATGATATCCCCATATTTTGAAACACTTACACAAATTTGAAGAACTGGGATGAAGCGTAAGTGTAATCTTTTAGAATGCTCCAGTAAACATTGGATGCAATTTCCTGCATTTTGTATCTTTGATAAGAGACGAGGAGAGAGTGTTAATCTTACGCACAGACATGTTCAAATATTATACAATTACATGTTCGTGCTGTAAGGGTGGATTTCGTTGGTTCTCGAATAATAAGCAACATTATCTGTTCATTGAGCAAAGAAATCTTGGTAAGAATCTTTAGTAAATTCGAAAGAATGAACAGCTACTAATTTATTTTTTGCAGAAATAATTCTAAAGGCTGAAATAAATACAGAAGTTTCATAAATATTCATTGAAGCATTTTCCAGGTTATTTAACTTTGCATTAGATGAAGCGAGACTCTATCGTATTCTATCTCAGTCTCGTTTTATTTAGCGCAAAGATAAAATATTCATAACTTGAAAAATAAGCTGGATTATTTTTGTGTTTGTTTCAATATCTTTTAAATTTTCTATTTTCTTCGTCAGAACATTCTGCAGATATCAGAAAATAAAAAAATTTTTGAATAAATAAGTCATTGTTCAAATATTCAAAGAAAAATGATTATTTACGTTGTTAAAAATATTCGAACGCTTTGATGAATCCATGATAACAAAGTACTTATGATAATAGTTCTTTTTATAAAAAGTTTATTTAGTTTGATACATCTTTCGACGAGCAATTTGTTTAAACAATCCTTTAAACATTATATTTTATTATTGATTATTATTATATTCTTGCTGATTTTAAAGTTTTATTTCAGTCTAAGAATAGCTACATATATTTGTTAGTTTAGTTTGATAATATAAATTTGTAACATGTGTAAATACTTTTGTGTAAAATTCAAGATGCATTTTTCTTCAATTTGTAAATTGAATACCTGAATATCTGAATATTTTTGAGAATTTTAATTTCTTGAGAAGATTGAATTGATCCTTCCAATTAATCTCTCATATCTGTGTTTTAATAATTACAATAAACAAATAATATCCGTTTAATTATTTACTTATTTTAATCATTCGCTATTAGATATTATATCAAAATTTTAAATCGATAACAAACATTTATCAAAAAGGAATTTATTAAAGAATCGTTTTTAGAGTACCATTGGAGTTCGAGTCTTACCTTGTCAAGATTAATTTTAGTGGCAGGGAACCATTTGCCGACGAATACGACGACTGGTCGACCCTGGCGATCGACACCACTTTGATAAAGGCAGCCAATTCCTGAAACTTCCGACAGATCCTCTGTCTTCGCTCTTCTCAGGAGCCTCTCGTACCTGGAACAAGGTAATAAGAGACATTTGATCATCTAATGTTAATTTTAACTGGCTGCCACCAAATATCTTTTTTAGAGAGATCTCTCTAACGTGTCTTTCTCGAATGGAAAATATTTTGAAATTATTTTAGTATTTGTGAGCGTGAAACAGCGTTGGCTGAAGAAAAACATCTTTCAAATGTTTGGAATCGTAATGAATTTTTAATTAAAATTTCGCACGCGTCTTTTGCTTATTTTAATAAAAAGAACTTTTGTACGCATCGTATATCGCATGCTTTTAATTATATTCAGACCGAGATGGAATTTACATGCAGACACATTTGCAAAGAGATCAGCGTCGAAACGATTTATACTCTGGTAAAGAATAATTTCTGTTTGCAAATCGTGCACATAGTGAAGATTATTTGAGCCACGTCATTCTGATAACCAAATGAAATAATAATTGTCTCACACTGACACGTAATTATAACACGTTGACGTTCGTTCATTTGATCATTCCTATAATGCAATTTAACAGATACAAATAAACGAAGGAAAGGAAATATGCTTATAATTACAATTACAATTTTGTGACAAGCTTTTTTCATAATCATTCGATTTTATAATAAAATCAAATATCACTAATTCTTGATGGCTTTTTAATATATTGCCATCACTTTGAAGATTTTTACTTGGCTGTTCGTTAAAAAAGTTTTTATTAATAAAAACGTTCCTTCGAAACGGTTTACGTTAGATTGGGTCACTTTTAATCAGCTTTATCGCCACCGACAATTGCACTAGTCAGATTAAGAAAACTAGTGCAAACCCAATGCGAACCATTAAATCGATTAACAACTAAATGAGTTTTTATTTAATTTTCATGATTTTATATTTGTGTGTTTTAATTAGGCTGGATCGGATAAACAACGATTTTTTAATAAACAACGATTGCTGAATTGTCAATGAGATGACCTTCGTGATGCTAATATTAAAAAAATCATAAAAATCGGAGGACGTGGTACGTAAATATTTATTCGAAGAATCATAATGATGATATGAAAAGAAAGGAAAGAGAAGAAAAATTACTTGAATATTAATTTCAATAAGGAGAGTTCCAAAAATTTAATTGCATCGACGAGAATAATATTTTGTCACAGTCGAAATAACGAATCTCGATGTTTCATCATCGAACGCGAAAATTACATGCAATTTCATCGTTAATTTCCATTCGTTACGGAGAGTTCGTGGAAAAGAAACATAAAGCTGACCAACCTTAAATATCGACGCCGTATCACGTAGCGCGAATTGTGACGACGAGGAAAGCGTGCTTGGTTTTGCAAAAACATGCAAGACTCCGGATAACAATCTCATAACACGAACCTCGTCTAATCTTTTTAATGCGAATGTCGTAATTAAAATTTTATTATCTGACCGTAAGAATGTGAAATATTCGCACATTAATTTCATGGTACACGATGGTATATTAATACGAGCTTATACGATGCGAAGCTTTTAATACAGAGATTCAACGGATGAAATTCGTAAATATTAAATTCAAGGCTGGAACGCGTAATTGAAATACGAAGTTTACAACGTAAACGTTGACAATATGAAGTTTACAAAGTTTGGATAATATTAGGAACGTTACAATAGAATGCTTATAATAGACATTTCACAAATGCGAAGCTTTGAAAATGATATAATGTTCACGATACGAAGATTCAACAAATTTAAAATTTTTAACGATACAAAGTTTGGAAATTGTACAAAATTTTTTTGTACAACACAGTGCTCATGAAACTTGCACTAACAACATCTGAATCTTAAAATAAGAACTTTATATAATACAAAGTTTACGATACAAAATCTTTAATTCGAAGACAAATATTTATAACGTTAAAACACTGTTGATATAAAACTAATACAAAGCTCAAGATATAATAAATTTTATTATGAAAGAAACAAATTTTTTAAAAATAAAAAACTGAAGAAATTAAAATTTCTTTTTTAATGAAATTCTATAACAAATTATCGCGTAATAATTTTTTGTCAGCAGAATATCACTTTAAGAAGATAAAATCAATAAAAATTTCAATATTTTTTATTCTTTTAAATATAACTTCGTAATGATAGAAAGAAAATTTTAAATTATAAAATATTTGGTTTCTAATGCTCTATCTATTTTTTTTTTTTTTTGCGAAAAATATATAAATGAAAGGTTTGAAGGTTTGATTTTACTCATTCAAAAAGATTCATTCATCGATAAAAAAAAATTTGCTCCATATATGTATAATCCATTGTGTCCCCCCATATACATACAAATTTTCAATCAGAATTCGGATAAATTTCTTTTTAATGTAAAAATATTTTTGTTGTTGATTGTATTTATGTTTCACAATACAACTATTATGTACATATCCAATTTCGTGAATCTTTAAATTTGGCTAACACAAAATGATTTTTCTGTAACAAATTTTCAAATATATTATTGTTTAATCTAATAAATTATATGAATTCAATATGATTTTTTTATATGAACACATAGATTTCATATATGAAACACAGAACTTTCAATTGCTCAAGTTAAAACGATTCACAAAGAAATTTCAGTTTTTTATATTAGAGTTGTAAATTTAAGAAAAAGGAGATAGTTATTTATATATTTTAACAATAGATTATTGATTTATTGGAAATATGTTTTATATTTATAAAATGTTGATCAATTTATCTGATTGATATTATTATTATTATTATTATCTAAACTTTAGAAAAATTGAAATATTTATTGAAATTTCTGATTAAGTGAAATTAAAGATTTTTTCGAACACAAATTCAAACACATTTTGCAAGCAAAGTTGAATGAAATTTCTTCTCGATCGACAGCAAGCTGAAATTACTTGGTGAGATAAAAACGATTTATTGAAAAACGAATTCATAAATTTTCATTCTTTTTAAAATATTTCTTAATCTAACACACGTTCATATATTAACAATTAATTTTATCATCGAAAATTCCTGTCCTATTTTATAAAATCTTGAGTACACAAAAATATCGTTTCTTTCTTTTATTATTCTTTTTTATAATTATCCATTACTCGCTAATCGTTGCAAACACTAAAATGTTAATTAATGTTACGTGTTAAATATAGTTAGAGGAATTTATCAAGTGCCAATAAACATCTTAAAAACTTCAAATCTGCCACGAAACTGTCGGTTCAATTCTAGAACACGATAAAAAATATATTCACAATGTCTTCGTTCCAAGTTACTACAAATTCTCGTATAAATCTTCTCTTCGTTCAATCCTAAAACATCGATCCTAAAAATTACTTATTGATATAAAATATCTTTTGCTTCGAAGCTTAACACGAAATCGTCCACCCTTCGATCGACCCTCGACCAGTGCCGACACGCGGCACAGCGGTTTCGTCGCGTAGCGTCGCGCGTGGACGCGTCCATGAATATTCCATTCGGGCAAAATCAATGAGCACGTTTCACGTGCGCCCCACGAAACGTTCCGCCTTAACTTTGTTAATCGAGTCGGGGCCACGGTTGAGCGCGGTTCATCCAAAGAAACGGAACTCCAGGTGGAAAAACGAATTGGTATCCTTCCGTTCGATTTTCCAAATCGTTTTTTTTTTTCTTTTTTGCTTTTATTTTTCCCGCTTGCTTCCTTCGATACCAACACCGCGCTCGTGTACGAAGGATACGGTTGATACACACGCATTAAATCAAAACGTTAAACGATTCTATCAACTGATTTTCGCGATGACGACTCGACAATGGACGATTGTACGATTAACGATAGTTACGATTGTTGTTTCTTTAATCGTTATCAATGCCATTGTCTTTTCTTCTTTTCTTTTTGCTTCTTAATCTTGCCGCAGAGATATCCGCGAGGAAAAGAGAGAGCGAGCGTTTTCAAGAGTTTAATTATCTGTCGATGCTTTCTTATGTTAGGATCGTTAACAGGTTTTGCGCAGTGCAAAGTTTCAGGAACGGTTTTAAAAAATTCCGATACCGGATTGAAACTAGATTTTGACAGATTAATTCATAGATTAAATTCATGCCGATTTATTAATTAAATATTTAAATATCATTAATCGAAATGTCATAGAATTTTCACGGATCGAATTAAGAATATTTTACAATTGTTCACAGATCATCCATAGCGGTGAATCGTTACGAATGAATCATCCGAGATCGCAGTTTATATTAAAGTATTCAGTCAACGCTCGATATGATTTTTCTTTTCATTATCACCCAATCGTGCGACGAATAAATACACGAGAAATAATCGCTATGACGATGATTCGAGCTACGAAGTTTGAAAATTCTAGAAGAGGAAGGAAGAAAAATCGGTGCCATGTTTTCTCCTTTGGGAACAACAACAAATCTCCCTTATATTTTTGGAACATTACCAAAAAGGCGCAACGAAGGGCGCAAAACAAAACTGGGCGTTGGACCAAAACTAAGGTTCCCGCGTATCGGAAAACGATTAAAGTTCGCCACGAAAATCCCCTCGTACATACACGTACAAACAACTAAACTCCAGCGACATTTCCACCGAACCCCATCCCAATGTGAATCAGCGGGCAAACTTCCAAAAAAAGAAAAAAAATTATTCTCGAAAAATGAAAATCGTGAACCGATCCCGCGTTCAAAGATCGGGATGCGTCAGATGCGGAACATTTACGTAACGCGAAAACATACACACACGCACGCATCACGACGGTTCAAATTACACGACGAAAGGACAACACAAGAGGATACACGATACGAGTATAGTCGAGATCCCGAGATAATGTAATACGCACCGGTCCTCGTCCTCGATCACATCCACCATGTCAATCATGACCATTCTGATGATACGAACACTCCGTTGACGAAAACGTTGCCTCCTCCGCTTCTTGTGACTGAAAAATCTTCTCTTGGAGAGCAATGCTTCTCTCTCTCTCTCTCTCTCTCTCAAATTCTCATATATATATATATGTACTACTACCAATACGTTAAACGAAATAA